ATAGGGACGTCTGGGAGATAGGTTGGGGTTTTTAAAAGGGTTTATTTCTGTTGGGAAGGCCAAGACTGGGATTTCCTACTTTGATTGGAGGTCTCCTTGGAAGACTCAGAGATGCATAGCAGCAGTTTGCTATTTCCCCAACATAACTTTCCTCCTGAGAATCAGAATAAACATCACTTGACTCAATCACACCTGGATCCTGCAAAGATTTAGGACATCTACATTGGGTATGCCTGTGAGACGCCTCAGCTGAGCGGATAGGACTTTGCTCACATGAAAATGTAAACTGGTGCAGAAACCCTGGGGAAGAAGTCTGCTTCTTAATTCCCTGCGTGCGTGTGCTATCCTAACTATCCCTGGCACCATTCTCTATCTGAAACTTTTCTTCCCTGAAAAATGTAAACTCAGGTCAAGCTGAAAAGTTTGGTCAATTTGTTTTGAAGTCCCCAAGTTGTTCAATTACTAAAATCTACTTAAAATTCTTGAAAATCAAAATGTTTTGCTTTGGCATTTTCACAGCAACACAACGTTGCTTTCATAGAATCATAGGAATGTACTTTCATAGAATCATAGAACCATAGAGCTGGAAGAGACCTCAGAAGGTCATCAAGTCCAGCCTCCTGCTTTAGGCAGGACCAATCCCAACTAAATCAACCTGGCCAGGGCTTTGTCAAGCTGAGACTTAAACACCTCTAGGGATGGAGACTCCGCTACTTCCCTAGATAACCCATCCCAGTGCTTCACCACCCTCCTAGGGAAATAGTTTTTCCTAATATCCAACCTGGACCTCTCCCACCACAACTTGAGACCATTGCTCCTTGTTCTGCCATCTGTCACTACTGAGAACAGCCTCTCTCCATCCTCTTTGGAACCTCCCTTCAGGAAGTGGAAGGCTGCTCTCAAATCCCCCCTCACTCTTCTCTTCTGCAGACTAAACAAGCCCAACTCCCTCAGCCTCTCCTCATAAGTCATATGCTCCAGCCCCCTAATCATTTTGGTTGCCCTCTGCTGGACCCTCTCCAATGTGTCCACATCCTTTTTGTAGTGGGGGGCCCAGAACTGGACACAATACTCCAGATGTGGCCTCACCAGAGCTGAATAAAGGGGACTAATGACATCTCTGGATCTGCTGGCAATGCTCCTCTTAATGCAACCTAATCTGCCATTAGCCTTCTTGGCTACAAGGGCACACTGCTGACTCATATCCAGCTTCTCATCCACTGTAACCCCCAGGTCCTTTTCTGCAGAACTGATACTTAGCTGGTTGGTCCCCAGCCTGTAACAATGCTCGGGATTCTTCCGTCCCAAGTGCAGGACTCTGCACCTGTCCTTGTTGAACCTCATCAGTGTTCTTTCCTTCTACTTGAAAGCTAAAAGCCCCTAGAGATGACATGAAACCTTTTGTGGTGGGGTGGACCGAAAGCCTGGGCTGGTTTGGTTCGCTACGGCCCGCGAATGGAAACATGAGTTCTTTGCCCAGCACTAGTCACAACCCTGCATGTTCTCCAGCAGGAAGTTCCTCAGATAGATGAAGCCCAGAGAGCTAATGCCGAAAAACAAACAATTACAAATCGACTTTTTAAAATGGGGCCTTCACTACCTGCCACAAAGAGGCAAAACTGGACACTGAGTCCCACGGTTGCAATTCACCATTCAAAGAAAAGCCCCCCCCCCACACACCTTAGCAGTGTACAGTTTTGCTGCAAAGTTATTCTTCACTCTCCTTTAGCCAGTCGGCTTCAGCCCCATCTCAAATGCCCCTCCCGCTATTCATTTCCATTTAATGCTATTTGAAAGCCCACAGCTCCGATCGCCACCTGCATTCTGCACCCGGCAGAGACATCCACTAATTAGAGCAACGAGAGAGACTTGTCTGCCAGCCCCAAGCAAATAGAAACTAAAGGACGACAAAGCCAGCCAGCGACGGCTCCGAAGGGATTCTCTCCTTTTATGGTGCCACAGCGTGTTCACCGGTAGCTATAGGCTAATGCTAACCAGCCAGCTCAGCTCAGCCGGCACGGGGGAGACGCGTAGGAACAGGGCGTGTTGCCGGGTTGGCAGCGAGAGGCCCGACTCCTGGGTTCTAGACCAAGCATGCGGCACAGATGTGCTTTTCAGGGTCGGATCAGTGGTCGGGGCGCCAGGAGCACTGAGACCCGATTGGCTGGAGTCCCACACCCCTGGCACTGGCGCCAAATTGCTCAGTCTCATTTGGGGGCACTTGGCGCTGGTGGAAGCGAGAGCACTGGGGGGTGGGTCGTGGGGAATGGAGCCCCCCGGCTTCTGTTCTACTCACTGCATGACCTTGGAGCCACAGGCATAGGCTGAAACGTGGGCAGTGATTGGGGGGGGGGCATTTTGGATGCCCACATGGGGACCCCAAGTTGGGTCCTTAAAAAACAGAGACGTCCCAAATCTGTGGCCATACCTGACAATCCGGGCCTTAAACGGCTCTGTGCCTTAGGGTACGTCTACACTGCAAAACACAGCATGTCCATAGCCCTCGCCAACAGTCTGGGGCTCTCCAGGCCTGGGCCATGGGGCTGGAAATAGCAGCACAGATGTTCTGGCTCAGGCTTGAGTCTGGGCTCTGAAACCTAGCGGGGCGGGGGCAGGGGCGGGGGAATGTCCACACTGCGAGGAACCTCGAGACCAGGGCTACTCAACACGTGGCCCGCAGTGTGGTCTGGGTTTCCGTGGGGCTCAACCCACGGGTGGGATCCTTTGAACATGGCCGCCCCTGGGCTCACGCTCTACAGGAGAGGCGTCTCGCAGGCAGGGCGACCATTGACAGATGCAAGCGCCTGGCTGGAACAGACGGGTACAGGGTATCGGCATTTCTAGTCCCCCAGGAGGAGGTGCCAGGAGCGCCGGGGCACTGTGGTTGCTTAGCCTCGTGGGCAGAGCCTGAGAGGTGCTGACTGGCTCACACTGGCCACGTGTGGGTCCGGCGCCGCGGCTTAAGGCTTAATCTTTGTATTCACACCCAGCAGTGTGAAAGAAGCTATTTGCATATATATTTGCATGTATATACAACCACAACTAAGTTGTGGCCCTCAGCATGCGCTGTGAGTATCACTGCCCCCCCCCAGGGCTTCCAAAGTTGAGTAGCCCTGGTCTAGACTGCAATTTCTAGTCCAGTGAGGGAAGCCGGAGTGACTCCGTTGACTGCGGGTCTCCTGCAGTGTAGACGTGCCGGGAACCAGGGATCAAAGCGCAGTTCCTGAGAGGCACCATTCCCAAGGCTCAGCAACAGACAGGAGGGGAGATCAAAGCGCTCTGTGACGCAGAGCCCAGAGCGTGGAAATTAACCCTGCAGGTCTGTCTGCTGGAGAGATGAGCTCAGAGCAACTGGCAACCAGCCCGCCGAGTCCCCCCTCCCGAGGGGATGCTGGTGCATGCGTGAGCATCCCACACGCCTGCCGGACCCCTGCACGGGGGGCGCTGGGGAGTAGGCAGAGAAGCAGGTCGGAGAGGGGCTGACTTTAGATCAGGATCCTGGAAGCCAAAGGAGCCTCTCTCATTAGGTTATAATAAAATCAGGCTCTAGCCGTGGCTGGCCCTGCTCTCCTCTGCTGCCCCAGCTGTGCCTGGGTTTGGTCCCTACCCGGATTCCAGGGGTGGGGAGCAGTCTCTGAACCGTGGGTCAGTATTCCAGTGACTTAGCCTGTCCTGGGGCAGGTGAGACATTGCAGGCCCCTAGCAGGGCCAACGGAGCAGCAGAGTCCAGCCAATGGGCCAATGTATCTTCCCAACAGCACAGACCAGAGCGGGAGTTTCCTCCATACATGGCCGGACTGTCTCGGGATGGGAGGACCTTGTGGGGATGCGGTCTGGGCTTGGGGGTTGCTAGCAAGCTACTTTCCCAGTCAATGGGAGTCTTGACATTGCTGAGACCCACCTGCAAATTCTTGCTTCTACAGAACCCCGTCAGCTGTCAGCCTCTCATCCCTCTGCCGTCTGCTCTCCCCCGGCCTCGGGTGGTCTCTGCTCCCTGTCTCCAGTGCATCCCAGGCACTGGACGGGCGAGGCTCCTTTGAGCAAAGTAACCAGTGGGCATGTGGTTAAAGCAGGTATCATGATGCACGTGCCCAAGGGGCAGAGCTAAGGGTATGTGCAGGAGAGCACAGAGCAACCTTCATTATGTAACCTCCTAACCTCTGAGGGCTCCACTCGGCAGCCTCAACATTCCCTGCAGGCTGCTCTCCAAGCCCAGGAGACCCGGGGGAGGCAGTGCTGAGCTGGGCGGAGGCAGAAGTGATTGAGCAGGGGATAGAAATGGTGCCCCTGGCCTCTGTCAGAGGCTGGACAGGGATGGCAGGAGACAAATCGCTTGATCGTTGTCTTCAGTCCACCCTCTCTGGGGCACCTGGTGCTGGCCACTGTCGGCAGACAGGCTACTGGGCCTGATGGACCTTTGGTCTGACCCAGTACGGCCGTTCTTATGTTCAGTGAGTGAAGACGAGGGTCAGGCGTGGGGATGGAGGCTCAAGGTGGGTGGGAGACAGTAACAGCGATGGGCATATGTGTCAGGTTAGACAGAGGCTAGCCTCATCTGGGCAGTTGTCAGTGGGGGAGGGTAGCGGGAGCTGGCCAGGTGTGGGTGGAGGGCATCGCAGCCGTGGAGGTGAGGTGTCAGGAGTGGGGTAGGGCAGCAGGGAGAGGGGGAGGTGGCAGTGAGTGGGGGGGAGGCGGTCCTGGGGGACTGGAGGGGGTGGAGTTGATGAGATGATTTTTTTAACACCGCCTAGACTTTCGATTGGAACTTGCATTTGTTGAGCTCCCAGCCGGCAGTTTTCAGCATCTTCCTCCTGTGTTAATTCCACTCCTGGAAATGTGCGTCTCTGCTTCGCTCCCCTAGAGCACTGGGGGATCGGGGACGGGGTAAGTTGCAAGCTCCTGTCTGTTTGCTTGTCGATTTCCCCTCCCTGTATCCCCCTTCCCTTCTCTCTCTGCTCTGTGTGGGGGCTCGTGTTGATGATGTCCTTGCACAGAGGAATCAGGGAGTGAGCATCTCTCAGCCACACAAATTGGCTTCCGAGTTCCTTGCTGCCTTGAGGAAGTTTCTCCGATACCTGGCGCTTCATGGTGAGCAGAGTGAGGTGGTGACACTCCTCTCCCTGACCCTCTCTTGGCTCTAACCCCGGAGTGGCTGTTCTCTCCTCCGGGGGCTGGAGCTTCTGGATTCAAACGGCAAAATGAACGGGACCTTTTTCAACCAGACTGTCATGGAGCAAGGGGTGTATTCCAACAGGACCCAGGAGCTGAGCACGTTGATGGGCTGTTGCAATGGCACCGGCTCCCAGCGGCGGCGGGTCCTCCGTCCTGCTGCCCGACGAGAGGAGCCTCTACATTACACGGGTAGTGCAGATTGCTGTGCTCTGCGTCCTCTCCTTGACTGTGGTGTTTGGGATCTTCTTTTTGGGCTGCAACTTGCTCATCAAGTCGGAGAGCATGATTAACTTTTTGGTCAAGGACCGCAGACCGTCTAAGGACGTGGGCGCTGCCATCATGGGGCTGTACTGAGAGGGTCTCATTCCAGAGAATGGTCTGGAATTCCGGTGGAGAGGTGTGATCCCATGGAAACAGGGTGCCGGGTGTGGAATCTGGACTTCTTGCAACGTGCTGGTGAACCGGGTAAATCCACCCTTCTGTGCTGTGCTGAATGCAAAACGGGCTGGCGAAGGGGACGGAGACATCTCTCCGGGTCTGTGTGAAGCACACAAATAAAATTGTCATCTGATGTTGCATGCAGAAATGTTTTATGCTTTGCATGAAAACTTGCAAAAACAAAGTGAAGGTTTGGCATCTGTTCCGTTGTTACCTTGGATACTGGTTTCTGTTCTTTAAGCTTTTTTTCTTTTTTTAAACCCTCACAAAACAACAAAACAAATTTAAAAAAAAAAGCAAAATGTGTCGTGAAAGCCAAATAAACAAATTGTTTGTGGGGCTAGGGAAAGTGGGGTGATCTTGGAGTCGTAAAGCCAAGACTGCATGCTAATGAATGTGCCTGTCTCTTTCTATTTCGGACCTCAAGCATGGGTCATTTTGTAAATCGAGAGTTTTGTAACTGGAAAAGCATGTTCTTTGGGGTTTTTTAGACGCCAGAGATCTCCTTAATAATGTACCAGGAGTTTCTCTTTTTTTAAATGATTTTTTTGCCCAGTATTGAAAAAAGAAATGGTAAAAGAAAACAAAAGCATGGCTTTGTTTTGGGGATGCAACAACCTTTTTCGAATGCAACATTGTTAAGTCCTTGGTTTTTTTTTTGTAGTTTTTGAAAACCAGTGAAAGTTGAAGAATCCCCCTCCCCAAAACAAAACAAAACAAAAAAACCTATTTCAAATGATTTTGCTGTTGTCTTCATTTTTGTGTGTGTGGACTTTTTCCCCAGTGATAGCTCCCGAGGATTAAATACCATTCTCTTACTTTGCATTTGAACAAACATTTTAAGAAATACTATTGAAACTAAAAATACCACTCTTGGGTCCCCTTAGCTAATATGTTAACTAGAAACTGAATACTCAGGGCTGCTGCTAAATTGCTGCCAAGCACTGAAGCGTAAAGGTTCAGCAAAGGCATCTTGCAAAGCAAAACTCCGCGTTGAAATCTGCATCCTCTGTGATCCTTGTAAAGCTGTCAAAATCCAGACACGTGAGTGAAAGGGGATAGATGACAAAAAGGAGACCTCCTGCCCTTTCCTCTTCGGTGGAATGATTTCTCAGGGTGTGGGTGTAGGACGAAAGTAACGTCTGCAATATGCTGGTTATTTTCCCTCTTGTGTGGGGGAGATGCGATCACAGCTGATGAGGAGTAAAATTAGGATCTGTGGCACTCATGTAAATCTGGAATAACTCCACTGTGGATTCACCCAAGCTGTCGCTCAGATCAGAGCCGGGCTGGAAGTGATGAAGAGTGGCCGTTAAGAGCGTGTTTCCCCCAAGGATTCCAAAGCATATTAGTGGAACAGACATAAGGTGAATACGACTCGCCCAGGGCTAAGTGTTCTCACTCTCCGCCCTGTAGGATGCAATGAGATTGTGATGACCAGGACACTCTGGCAGGGAGGCCAGGGTGTTTGTCTTCTGACACCCCTCTGCCCCAATGAACCAAACTAACCGCTAGGGGCCTAACCCCCTTGCAATTTGGGCAGCCTCCTCCCATAAACTGCTGTTCTGATGGGAGAGTGTTTTACAGCCACTTTGCCCAGCAGCAAGTGGCTACCTGTGGAAGCCAGGCCTGGCAGGAATGGATCCTTCTCCTATTGAACTCAATGAAAATGCTCCCTTTTGCCTTCATTTCCACTGACTCGGTTGTGGGCAGAATCAGGCTCTGTCCTCTGCTTTGTATCTTGCATTACCATTTACCCCTGCGCGAAGCACTACTCAAATGAGCACTGTGTGCCGGTGGGTGGAGGAGGGGAATAATATTGCACCCGTAGCGTCTTGCTGTGTGCCAGTGGGTGGAGGAGGGGAATAATATTGCACCCGTAGCGTCTATTTCCTGTGGGGGGAATGCAGTCCTGGAATGTGAAGTGGGGTAAGACTAAACTCCATTATAGCAGTGTGAATCGGGAGTAAACTCCGAACTGGAGTCGCCCGATCAGTAAATGAGACAGACAGTCCCGGGCAATGAGGAAGTAAGACCAAGGCGTATTCAGGCCTGATTCTACCATGTGTTTCACTCTCTACTGTGAGTGAAGGGATAGAGAATAAGACAGAGACTATGGGCAGTGAGGAAGTAAGACCAAGGCATATTCAGGCCTGATTCTGCCATGTGCTTCACTCCCTACTGTGAATGAAGGGATAGAGAATAAGACAGAGAATATCTTATTGCCTCTATATAAAACCATGGTGCACCCACATCTTGAATACTGAGTGCAGGAGTGGTCACCTCATCTCAAAAAAGATCTCTTGGCCTTGGAAAAGGATCAGAAAAGGGCAACAAAAATGATGAGGGGTTTGGAACGGGTCCCGTATGAAGGAAGATGAAAAAGACTTGGCCTTTTCAGCTTAGAAAAGAGGAGACTAAGGGGGGATATGATAGAGGTCTATAAAATCATGACTGGTGTGGAAAAAGTGAATAAAGAAAAGTTATTTACTTATTCCCACAATGTAAGAATGAGGGGTCACCAAATGAAATTAATAGGCAGCAGATTTAAAACAAACAAAAGGAAGTTTTTCTTCACTCAGTGCACAGTCAACCTGTGGAACTCCTTGCCAGAGGATGTTGTGAAGACTGGGACTTTAACAGGATTCAAAAAAGAGCAAGATAGATTCATGGAAGTTAGGTCCATCAATGGCTATTAGCCAGGATGGGTAGGAATGGTGTCCCTAGCCTCTGTTTGTCTGGAAATGGATGACAGGAGAGGGATCATGGGAGGATTACCTGTTGTGTTCCCTCCCTCTGGGGCATCTGTATTGGCCACTGTCGGCAGACAGGATACTGGGCTAGGTGGACCGTTGGTCTGACCCAGTATGACCGTTCTTATGGTCTTATGTTCTTATGAGTATATATGGACTCCTTCTTGGCAGTGAAGTGAAGCAAGTCCGTGGTGTTTGCAGGATTGGTCCCTGTGGCTGCAACTGAGTTTCCATCTGAAGCCAGAATTTGGTACCTTTGCTAAAATCTATCAGCCTCCCACCTGGATGGGGAAATCTGGTGCGGGAGTAGAACTGGGAGTTAAAAACCTCTCCCCTGTTAGAAACACTGGAAATGCTGAGCTGAGCTTGCCGTTCCCAAATGAAGCTCCGTAACCACCTTAACTCTGACCCCTCATGATGCCCTGATGAAGCTGGAAACTCCTCACAACCTGGTTAATTTGTCACTGGCTGAAGGAGCTATAATATTCTCGTCTTAGCTGGAGGGAGAGGGGGCCTTTTTCTGGTGATACCTGGCACATATCAGATCATTCCTCAGATCCCTGATTAGCCACGTAGCCTGCGGAAGGCAGCATTCCCGGCGCTCTGCGGAGAGACGCTGGCGACACCAGGCACACTCAAAGACCGGGGGTCGTCCGACTCCATGCGTCAGGGTCGTTAGCCACAGGGTTAGTGCCTCTCTGTGGTTATCAGCCACCGATACCCAGATCACGCTGTTAAGGACTCCCAAGAAAGTGTTGCCACGGGGACCACTCCTCACCCAGGTTGGAATAACCCCACACTCTGGAACGAGTGGGCCCATGCCCTGTACAGAGGGCAGCCAGGGCTGGATTCTGATTTCCCCCACACTGAGGTCAGAGCTGGGTCAGACCCCCCAGGCCTGCTCCCCCGTGGCCCTCCACCTTGTGCTGTCCCTCCGGTGGGCAGCACCTCTGCTCCCGCTGTTGCTGGCTGACGTCAGTGCGGTGCTGGGCTCAGCCTTGCTCCACTTGACACAGGCGCTGGGGGCCACATGTGTGCTCCGGGTCTGAAGGGGGCAGAGGGCTCCTAGGGGGCAAGCAGCCTTCTCGCTGCAGGAGGCCGTGCGAAGTCACGGTGCTCTGGCTGCCTCGGGGAGGGGAAAAATGAGCCCCCAGTGCAAAGTGACTAGGGAGAGGAAAAATGAGCCCCCAGTGCAAAGTGACTGTCCCACTCCCTGTCAGCGTGGCAGCATTTCGTGGCCACTGGGGAGAGGTGCTAAGGGCTAAGGGGTCACTCAGGAGCTCATCCATGGAAGGCTAGGCCCGATGACGTTCAGTGGGTCATGCCCGGTGTCCATCAGACGAGTTCGGGATCGGGACGGAGCGGAGCCGGCCTGCACAGGCTGGGGGCATGTCTGAGCTGCATTTGCTAGAGAAACAAGCCCCCGGGACCGTCCGAGGGTCGGCACGTCAGCCACATCCAACAGCTTTCAGAGAGACACTTGTGAGCCACACGCTCCTGGTGCGCGAGCGCTTCCAAGCAAGCAGAGAGCTCCTCCAGCTGGGAGCCAAAATGGCTAACAACAGCTGGGTGAGTCAGTGCTAAGGAGCAGCAGCATAAACCTGCGGTTAACAGCGGCCTTAGGCCATGCCCCCATGAGGAAACTATTTTGCAATAACTAAATTTGACTTAATAACTCCTGATTTTACAAAACCCGACGAGGCCAGTGGTCACCAACCAGTCGATCGGGATCTACCGGGAGATCCTGACTGGTTTGGCCAAGAGGCTCTCAAGTGTGGGCACTTCAACTGCCCCTCCCACAACTGCTGCGCACGTCCTGCCCTTTGCCTTGGAGCTGCCTCCCCCCGCCCCCAGGAGCCTCCTGCTTGCTGTGCAGGGCAGGGGAGGGAGAAGGGGGGTGCTGATGTCAGGGCGCCCCCAGCCCTCTCCCACCCTGGATCCTATCTCCACAGAGCAGAGTGGGGGGCACAACAGGACTTGGGATGGAGTTTGCTGGCTGCTTTTTGGGAGTGGTGCAGGGTCAGGACAGGGGTGATCCTGCCTTAGCCCCATTGCACCACCACCCAGGAGTCACCTGAGGTAAGCAGTGCCCAGCACATCCCGAAACCCTACCCCAGGCACGAACCCCCTCCTGCACCCCAAGTCCCTGCCACAGTCCCGAGCAGCCCTGCATCCAAACACCCTCCCAGAGCCTGCACCTAGAACCCCCTCCTACATCCCAGCGAGCTGTCCCAAGCTCAGCTCAGAGCCCCCCTCACACTCCCTCTAAGACCAGAGCCTGCACCCCAACCCTCTGCTCCGGTGTGCTGAAAGGGAGGGAGGATGGGGGAGGGCCGGTGGATGGAGTGAGCAGGGGCGGAGCCTCGGAGAAGGGGTACAAAGAGGCGGGGCCAGGATATTTGGGTGTGAGGTAGGTCTTGGATTGCAATTACATTCAAAAAGTGATCTCGTGCTTAGAAAGGTTGGAGACGACTGAACTAGCCTGTCGCCACCACAGGGAAGCCTCGAAACGAGTCCAAGGCAGGCTCTGTTAATGTACACGCATGCACTAGCTCGACTTAGAGCTCCAGGAAGCACTGGGGAGTAATTACTCAGCGACACCGGCGTGTCCCCACCACCGCTATTTCGAAATTAGCGTTATTCCCTGAGGAAAGCTGGGGTACAGATTTCGAAATAAGTGGCCTCTTATTTTGAAATAACCGGCTTGGTAGTGTGGACGCGCCACTTATAACTTCGACCTAAGGGGGGTTATTTCGAAATAAGCCCTAGTGTAGACCAGGGCTTACGGGGGTGCCCAGAGGCTCCATGTGAGATCAGGGCCTCACTGTGCTAGGTGCTGTACATGAAACCAGCACTGCCTGCAAGGACTCCCAGGCTGGACAGACCCAGGCTAGGAGGGGACACGCAGAGCATTTATGTCTCTTCCAGAGGAGCTAAAACGCCGAGGAGCAAAGGCTGAAACCTGAGCCCCTGTTCAAGTCAA